ACACAAATACATGATGATTTCATGCAAATGAATTCTGTTTTCATCGAAGATTTCATTTACAGATAGATGTGATGGTATTACAGACAGACAGACAATGTAATACAAGAATTCTCGTTGTATACCGGCGGTTTACGAATGAATGAATAACACCGGCTGTAAACAATAAATCGTGACGAAAAAAAAACTCGTTATGGGCTCATTAAGCAACTATATAATGTGCTTGATCTCACTGTTAGAAGCAGATCCTTTCTTGAAGAACGGTCCGTGTTTCAATCAACTGAGATGGATATAGATAGCCGTATTAAAGCTTATCGCTTTGTTGCCTATTCGGCAGTTGCATTCTCTGTGGTGGCCGTACTTTCAGTATGTGTCACATTACCAGTCGTCTACAACTACGTCTACGAAATCCGTCGCCATATGCGCAGTGAAGTGGTCTTCTGCAAGGTGAGTCTGGTCTCTTATAAGTTAGAAGTTTGAATACAACTAATGAATTGTTTTTGGCATAAAATTCCCTGTGTTCCCCATCGAAAATTATGCGGGGTGCATTTTGTACATCAATCGCCCACTGCTCAAACCGAAAATACGCTGCCCGGATTTTTATCAGTAATCTCAGATCAGATACTCATGAGCCCAAAGGAAATTCTAGGAGCGGCCGTTTGCCACAGTATCAATTCATTTCGTTTTACATCTTCAGCTGATGAAGCGCAGTCTTGTTGTTGCGAACGTACACACTGATTATGTGTGATGACATCTCTGAGAATTCATTCCATTGATTGTTAAAAAATATGAATTAAAAAGTTTGATTTCTACTTGAATCGTTCCAAAAAAAATTGAATCTCACTTACTTGATGATAACTGCAAATCGAGATGATTGATGTTTCATCGTTCGATTCACGACGGGGTTTCACTGTAGGTGAGTATTTCAGGGATCCGCACAAGACATCTGGTCAGAAGTATACGATCTGAGAAACATTGCCACAGCACATAACCGTACTGCCCGTCAAGTTGGTGGAGGTTGTGAAGCTTGCTGTGTTCCTGGAGCTCCCGGTCCAGCTGGACCACGTGGTAAACCAGGAAAGCCCGGTAAAAATGGAGCTCCTGGACTTTTGGGCAAAGCAGGTCTTCAATCAGTGCAGCCATGCGAGCCACAAACACCACCTCCATGCGCACCATGCCCAGCTGGAGCACCTGGACCACCAGGACCAGCAGGACCCGCAGGAGATGCCGGAGCAAACGGTCAAAAAGGAAAAGATGGTTCGGCAGCACTCGCTGGGCCCGCCGGTCCCAAAGGAGCACCTGGACCAGCTGGTGCACCCGGAGCTCCAGGACCCGCTGGAGACGCTGGTGCTGCAGGACAGAGCTCTCCAATACTTCCAGGAGAAGCTGGACCAGCCGGTAAGTGTGGCTTGATTCATATCAAGCAACGTATATTACACCGATTGATTTGGGAATGATTTCATGTGTATACTTTTTGCACCGGAAGGTATGATTGAATGCAAACATGGTTATTGCAGGAGACGCCGGAGCACCCGGACCAGCCGGACCAGCCGGAAACCCAGGTGCGGATGGAGCTGCAGGTCCTGCAGGATCTGCAGGCAAGGCTGGTGCCGATGGAGCGGCAGGAGCGGACGGTCAGCCAGGTCAAGCAGGCCCAGCTGGTACACCAGGTACGCCTGGCGAGAAGGGTATCTGCCCCAAATATTGCGCTATCGATGGAGGAGTGTTCTTCGAGGATGGATCACGCCGTTAAACAGACTGCAAAACTCTTTCAAGCAATATTTCGTATTGATCTTTTCCTGTTCACACTGCCCTTGCTCTATTTTTCTAAATAAACCTTTGCACTTTCATTCGAATTTCACTTCAACATACACATATGGCATTGAAAGTCATGAAGCTTTTCCACACAGGTGAACATTTGCTATTCCTGACACATTTCTCATCGCCTCAAATGAGCAAATTAAACTGGCTCTTTATTCGAACGTGAGAAATATAAGGTACGAAATACAACTACAAAACCATTCTGCTGTTATTGGCGAAATAACGATATTCTCGTTTGCGGAAAAGCCTTTTTTTGTTTTGCAAATAGAATGCAATCAATTTGTCTGCAGTGTTTCTTTGTGATGCGTCTCGTATATTGTTCACCACATACCCAGTAGTTTTAAGCCAAAAACATTGGTGCAAAATCGAATAATTGAATTAAAATTCATTTAAAAACTAAACTGACTATGAGCTTCAACTGAAAATCTCAAGGAGCAGTTGAATACTGTGCAGTAAACGGCACTGCAAAAAACAGCCAACAGTTGACGACATTTAGTTGAATGGACCATTCAATATTATGGGTTTGAATGAGTTGCACATAAATGAGTTCCATATGAGGAGTGAATCATGCATGCTTGAATGAAAAAATGGAGCTGATTGGCTTGCGATAACATTGGGCAAAAACAATGAAACTTGCTAACGAGGCAATCAACAACATTCTTTTAATGTCGTAGCAATGAAATAGAGAATGAACACAGTAAAGTGCCAATTTTCGCTCGCCGACTAAACTTGAGTCATTTAATTGCAAATTGAGTAATTTAATTGCAAAATTGAAATTATCAGTTGAATCTCAGTTTGTCGGTTGATGTGTGCTTATATATGTATGCGTGTGCTTCATTTGTGTACAAGAATCAGTATGACCATCAACGAAACATTTGATCCGAGGCGTTGTTCGATTGGATTTTCAGGCACTATTTCATATCCTTCAGCAATGCTACAGCACACTTTAGCTGTATGTGCACGGTGCATGGAACTTGTGAATTGCATTAAACGCTTACGTCCACCTTTGGCAGTTAGTTTAATTGCGTTTGTTCCGAAATTTTTAGAGCTATGGTTCATGGCACTTCCATTGTAAAAATGCATTTCAGTCATTTGAGCTTAATGTTGCGTAACCTTTAATGCTACACTGCTTAAATGCACTTAATGACACATCATAAAATCTTGTTCATAATGATGGGTGTGATATTTCGATGTTTAACGGTTGTTACTACCCACATCACACAAACTGACTGAATGCGTGGTCTATTTCCGAGAAGTGGCATCCTGAGCTCTTTTTCGGATTGATTTGCTTTCTATTCGTGTTCAATTGCCATTTAAGACACATTTAACACAAATAACACAGCGAACCTGCATCTAAGCCTCATGATATTCCTTGAATATCATGAGGCTTAGATGCAAATGTATCAGAATTGAATGAAGATTCAGCTGATGTTGAGAATGCATTCGGTTACTCTGTTTTCATTTAATTAATTCATCGACTTACGATGAACAAACCAAAACCGAACTGTTTATTTCCAACATAAAATGATTTATAGAATTCATATTGTAAATTTTCGTCGCGCAATTCATACGTTCCCTGAATCATTTTGGCGTGGAACATGTGACAACAGTTGATCAATAACATTAATTTTCGATATCACTGGTGTTATGTGTGAAAATTTTCAACCAATACTGCACGTAACGATGGTGGATGGGATAATTGAGTGAACAAAAATAATTTCCTCACCGTTATGTTGGAAAATGGTGAATGAATAATGAGAGAAATGGTAATGAGAAAATTAATGGAACGAAATTTACAAAGGGCAAATGGATAATGTCAAAGAGATTCTAAATGAAATTCACTGAAATGAAGTGTTGAAAATGAAGACGCATTTGATTGTGACGTTATGGAAATGTTAGTGAAGCTAGCCATAAAATACGTGTGATATAAACGTTTCGAGTGTGTCCTATTTCATCGAGCTTCTAAGCATCCACTCAACTGGCTTTTGACACTTGCGTTCGCTGTCCTGAAGATATGATTTCATATTATAACTCTGTATATGATTGCTTTTAAACGTTTATTCATGCATGCCCACAGAAAATGTAAATTTGAGTGGAGAGTTCTAGAGTCGGTTCAAAAGCTGGATTTTATTTCATGCAAACTGAAACCTAGCGATAAACCCTCTTAAGTGATCGATTCTTGTTTAGTGATCAATAACTAATAATTGCTTTAATTTCAGCTCAACTGATTCCAACAACGTGTTTTTTGAGAGCAACGAATCATTGCCGTATGCAAATTCAGCCATGCATTCAAAAGACATGTTGCATTCATAATTATACGTTCTCATGTCTGGTTGAGCACTAAAAACAGAAACGAGTAACGGCACCTCGTTGGAAAACTGTACCTAGAAAACTCTTTCATTGTGAGAGATAATCAATTCGAGGAAATAATTTGATAACGAAAACTAAACGATATCTTGAATGGAAGTTTTGATCAGTGGCACTCAAAAAAAGATCAGCAACTGACTTTGTTCGCAAACTTTCCCGTTTTATCGCACATCGCTCCACAATTCAGTCCCTCATCATGCCTATGGTACTGTTCATGAGTAGAATGTTTCGTTGAGTGAATTCTCTGTTCTGAAGCTATTCAGCTGAACGCGCTGCTTGTAACAATTCATCGCTAAATTTGTTATGAGATATGTGAACAAAAAGAAAAATACTCCCATTAATCTATTCAAGCCTGAGAAACGCAATAACATAATTTTCGAACACACCATCATCGTACGATTACACGCTCGTCAGGTTGCTCTCTTGAAAACAACTCAAGAACTTCCCTGAATGTTTCTATCACGTGCCACTAACACGCATCCATTCCGTCTGCTTTTGTTGCTTTCCAATAGAGCGCAATCTTTTCGCATTAGTGAGCAGCAAAAAGTTGTATAAAATTGGGCCGATAGTTACAATTGGGTCATTGGGCTTACTCAAAAACAATTCCATGTGGTCGCGTGCTTAGTGATTGAGTTTGATGCATGAAGTGTTTCTGACGATTTCAATTTCAGTGGCGTTAATGCACCACTCTGCTTTCAGCAAAACTTTCTCTCGCGAACAGAAATCGAAACTACGACGTACCAATTACCGGTTGTAACTCTATCTATGAGCTGTCACGGCGAACGTTCGGCCTGCGCTGAGTGTTGATTGCGTTGAATTTGCACTCATTGTCAGTTCTTCAGCGCATGTAATGCGAAATTGCTTTTTATTTTCCAATCTATTCTTCGGCGAGTGAAGCTCAAAATCATGGAGTGTCGCACCAGTGCCACTGATACTATCGGGCCTGAGCCAAACTACGATATCGCTTGTATTGTCTGCTTACGTTACACTGATTTTAATTACAGTATTGATTACAGTGGTAATCTATGATATTCGCATCTGCCTGCATTCATTGCCCAAAGTGAGCGTCCATGATAACTTATTCCAGCAATATTCTTTATACGGCTCCACAAACAAAACTCAAAATTGTTTCCATTCAAAAAATTTAATCTATATTCTGCTTCAATTGCAATTGCTAGTTGTTCATTAAAGAGAGCTTAATCACCTCTCACTGAATAAACTGTTGGTAGATATGCCGAGAAGTTGCATCAGAACCGAACGCATCATTATATATGCGATACATGAGTGTGATGCAATGATTACCCCTGGTCTTTTTCATAATTAAATTATTCATTTGATGGCTTAAGAGCAAATATTTTGAACGATGTAACGAAGTGAACAATACAAAGTGTTCATTCACGTCAGATCAGAATCAATGCAAATCATGTATTCCACTGCTGAATTTTTGATTTTGCTATCATATGACTATAAGGTTGAGTATTACGTCAATCGTAAGCTTATTTTACGTTCAAGGATGAGTCGCGCCCACAACAGATGTCTTATGATTGGAGTTGGCCGTTTCAGCTGTCGATCAGCACCGCATAGCAATTCAATTGTGCAGACCGCAGCTGAAAGACTTTCCTGTTGACTTCCCTGCTCAGAGACTTCCTGATAGTTCGAAATAATTCAAAAAATTCAATTCAATACTTCAGTTTCATTCATGTCTTTAAAGTTTAAAGCATATTCTTCGACGAGGTCACCATTCCGTCTAGGTATTTAACTAATGCGCATATCGAAGATGCACTCGAATTGATTTGTATCAGCACTGACTTCCCTGCTCAGAGACTTCCTGATAGTTCGAAATAATTCAAAAAATTCAATTCAATACTTCAGTTTCATTCATGTCTTTAAAGTTTAAAGCATATTCTTCGACGAGGTCACCATTCCATCTAGGTATTTAACTAATGCGCGTATCGAAGATGCACTCGAATTGATTTGTATCAGCACGAGTTAATCAGTCAATACGAAATTTATTGTTCCCAACGAGATTTTTCCCAACGAGAAATTGAAACTGCCCACAGGTCAATGTGTTTCTTGCTATGCAAATCTAGAAATATTCCATTGATTCTGTTCAGGCTAACTGGATTGTTTCGATGCAATGCGGACACGATTGTCGACATTTTTCGGCACTAATCAACCGTTAAATTTTCATGAAATATATAGCATTTATCAAAACAACGCCAACAACTGCTTGTACTACATTGAAAATTTAATATTAATTTCTTCAAAACCTGCGAGCGTCTGGCAATCAGTAACGCTGTCATTGCATTGCACGATAAATTCGAATAAATCATTGGTGTGATGTTGAATTCATTGGTGCCCAGTTGCTGTTTGGACAGTGAAATCATTGTTGATTGAAGTGAAGTTTGGATGTGGATTGTAAAAGCCTAAAGAAGAGAAGAGGGATGCGCATAGTCTACGATATCACTTGAGTTGTGCTTACCTTTATCAGATTTCCTGAAAATTTATCACGATCTGTCCTAAGCGCATACCTCATATGATGCGTGCCTAATATGAGATTGAAAT